GCCTCCCTGCTCCACCGTCCGTCGTCCTACCTCGTCCTCCCTCCTTGTTCGAAAAAGAGATGTGAAGTCCCTGGTGCCGCGTGCCCGTATTAGAGATACACCGCCTGTTCGATATCCGAACATAGCGGCGCAACCGAGCAGAGGGAATTGCCAATGCAAGCGCTCGGGGCGCACTCCAAACGCGGGCGGCAACGGCCGCAAAGCACAGTCGCGTCGCTAACATGTAAGTGTATAGGCGTCTGCGGCAAAGTCAGCCCCCTTGCCAGCGCAGCGATCTGTATGGCGACTCGTGGAGCTTTGATGACTGCTAAGAGGTCCATGACATGTGTCACCTCTCGTGTTGTCGGACTGCTGCGGGGCCTTTGGGGGGGTCCGTCGGGGCCTTCTTGGGAGTTTTTGGAGCCGTTTGGGGCCGCTTTGGTGCCGCAGTTCACTGCGGCCGCCCTGGGTCAGGGAAGCGTGTATTTGCAGCCCCCTTGAGCCGCCCTGGGCCACGGAAGTGTGTATTTGCATTCCCTCCTGGTTGGGCACGTCAACGCCGGTTCAGGGCTGGCAAAGTCGAGGCCCCCTCGAGGTGGCGAGCGTGTACCTTTTTTCCGAACCGCACAGATCAGTTTACACAGCTGGTGTCTTCAACTGTGTATTTGCGTGAGTGGCTCCACTATTTACACAGGTCGTGGTGTGATCTGTGTACACAGATCTGGTTCCCATCTGTGCATGTGTGGTGTGACTCTGAAATCGGCTCAGAGGGCTGGGGTATACATATAGCGAGGGTGGCGAGCGTCCCGCTGGCGTCTGGCTCAAGTCGCCAGCGTCCTATCTGCTCGGATTGCTTGAGCATTCGGCAGCATCGGGAAAGAGGGATCTGATCGCGGCCCTGGAAGATGCCCCATCTTAAATATACGTCCCAACCTCGTACCAGATGGTCCTCATCTTGTTTTGTACTTGGTAGTCGAGCTGGCCCCGTGAAGTTGTGGTCAACTCAGTCCATCGCAATACTTCTCCACGGCGCGGCTTCGCACGCCGTTAACGCCACTGCGACGTCAGAGCGCGGCTACTGTCAAGCTGGCGGAAACGACCTTAGCGGAAACGCTATTTCCTCTGTGGGCAGCATCCGCTCGACCGCTCCGAAAACCGCATGCGCTCAGGCTTTACGCCACTACGCCCCAACCGACGATGAGCTTGGGAATGGGATGAGGCACCCGCTTCCGTTGCACGGAAGCGCAGGCCCCATGCTTTTTAAATCAACACGGGAATGCGCCTCCACAGCCAATCCGATTCATTATTGCGACGGACGCTCCAGAAACGACCAATGACATTGCCCATGATTCCGCATGGAAGTACATCACCTTTGGCATTCTTTGGTTCGTCATTTGACGTGCTATAGGTCGCATGCAACGCGGTGGCCGCGGCGACGGAGGCGACGGCGCGACGCGGGGCCCATAGTGGGAGCCCTCAAGGAACGCATCGCCCGTCGAGTTCACTCGCGAGGTGCGCGCGCGGCTGAACGTCGCCAGTGCCCGCCCGACCCCGCGACAACCGGCTGCGTGCCTACGACATGGTCTGGGGGCGGTGGCACGCGCAATCGCGGCGCGAATCCTTCCCCGGATCGCCAACTACGGCGCGACGACGCAAGGGGTCCATGCGGACCCCGTCGCATATATAATGTTTCTCCTAAACACCAAATTTGAAAGTCTTGAGGATAAGCGGCAGCTCGCGTCGGGGGCGGCGCTCGTAGACTTCGGGCCCGACCCGGGTGGGAGAACAGACTCGGTCCTCGCCGGGTTCGAGGCGGCCGTCTTCGAGGCCGACTCGGTCGGCTTTGCCGCCCGAGTTTTCCAGCTATTCAATTCATGGGTTGCGCCCCCGGATAACCTCGCGCCCCCACTTTTTCCCACCTGGGAGTTGACTATCCCAGGCCAGTGCAGGTTTGGTCAGGGAAGAGAGGCGGCGATGCCGAACTTGATGATCCATGGGGCCCGTCAGGAACTTCGTAGGATTCTTTAGGAACTGAACCCTTTGGACGTCCTTGTGGTCCTTCGGGGAACCCATGGGATTCCTTAGGCCATCCATTTGTGTCTTTAGGCAGCCCATGCGATTCCTCAGGGGATCCATGGGTCCCTTTAGGACACCTGTATGAATCCGCAGGACATCCGCAGGATTCCACAGGAAAGCCATAGGCTTCCTGAGTACATTCATATGAATCCTTTGGACATCCATGGGGCGCGCTACAGAACTTAGAATATCCTGGAGGCAATCCAGTGGAATCGTTTAGAAATTTAGAGGCTCTTCAGGACATCCATCTGCCGCCTAATGTCATCCGTAGGATTCTTGAGGACATGCGTCGGATTCGTTAGGATGTCCGCGCGAGCCCATAGCATCTCCGTAGGATTCTGTCGGACATCTATAGGGTTCCAGAAGAAATTCATGGGGTTCTTGATGCAATGCATCGCATTCTTTCGGGGCTCCATCGGATTCCTTTTTTGGAGTTCGCTAAATGGACAGCCCTGAGCCTTTACTTCCAGCTCTTTTGTGCTCGATTTGTTCATGAGGTGCGTTTGCCAAACGGCTTTGCTTGTCGGGCTGCTTATTGCAGGGGTGTTTTCTTCTCCAGGGAAGTCGGGCCTTGGCTGGAACAGAACAGGGATCGGGCCGCCGCGGGTCGGTTCGATCGGGTGTTTCTCCCTCAGGGAAGCCCCCCCCCAGCCCCGAATGGGCACAGACCGCTTGTTGTATCCGGGCACGACAGAGAGCCACATCCACAACTGAGTGGATTTTTTTAGAGGGCCCGTCGGGGGAGAACCCGCCGACCTCGACACGAACACTTCGGTTGTGGTTGTGGTCGACTTGGCAGTCCTGGGACGCCCACGTCGACCACAACCAGTACTGAACGGCCCTCGGTGTTCCCACGATTGTCGGCATGCGCAAAACATCCCCCAGGGTGCGTCTTCGACGCGGTTATGGTCGCCTGGTGTCCCCGCGCTGTCGTCGTTGGTCTGGCCGGGGCAGTTTTTTGTTCCTGCCCTGCCGCTCCCGCGCCGCGCGTGGTGCGAAGCCCTTGGGATCGCATGCGCAGTCGAGGCGCTGGAACAGAGAACCGCTCTGGGCCCAGGAGGCCGTTTTCTCGGCCCTTCCTTCGACCTCGCTCGGGGAGCCTCTTCGTGGCCGAGGCCCGCCGTGGCAAGACAGCGCCCCCCGGTTCCCTGTTTGGTGCCCCTGGTGGTGGCATGATGGCTGCACTGCTGCAGTCGCGCGGCCGCCGCGGCGTGCACGGACTTGGCACGTGTGCAGGTTGGTACGGTAGGTTCGCGTCGTGTCGACCGGCGGCGACCCCAGCGCGGGCGTTCAAGGTTGAACGCCGCTGGCGACCCAGAATCGATCGATGTTGAACGATCGGACGTTGCGGTGAGGGCCGATCGTTCAAGGTTGAACGATCCAGCGCGGTGTCAAAAACCAACGCTGGGGTCGGCACGACACGAACCTGCCGTAGTCTGACCCGGGACCCCACGAGGAGGACTGTTGCTTTCATCCGGGACCACCCTCAGGGACCCCCCCTTTACCCCCTCTGGTCCCTCCTGGCGGGTAAGGGATCAAAGGAAAAGGGCTTCCTTTCGACTCAGTTGCGGCGTTGCTTAATTTCGCTTATGCTGTTCCGCTGTGGTTGGCTAGCGACGGCGACGGCGACCGCGACGGCGACCGCGACGGCGACCGCGTCGGCGACCGCGACGGCGACCGCGACGGCGACCGCGTCGGCGACCGCGACGGCGACGCCGACGCCGACGCCGACGCCGACGCCGACGCCGACGCTGACGCCGACGACGCCGACGACGACGACGACGAGTCAAACGAAACAGCCTCTCCCACACGCCGACAGGTTCGGCGGATTCAGTAACCCAGTCTGCCCAGAGGCCAGCGCTTTTGTCGCGCTTGCCGCCCTGTTAGGGCCGTCTCGCGGCGACGGCAGACTCTTCCGTTCGTTCGTTCCTTTTCCTTCTCCTTCTCCTGTTCCTTATCCTTCTCCTTCTCCTACTCCTTCTCCTCTCCTCCTTCTTCATCTCCTCCCCCCTCTTTACCAGGCGTTCGTTGAAAAGAGGTGCTTTTTATCCCCAGGTTCGTCTTTACTTTAGGCGTCTTCTATGTTCGAAAGCCGAACGGCTTCTTCTGTTCCCTTCCCTATGAGAGGGCGGGTGGAGTCCAGATTTATTGTGAAGACCTCACGGCCGGTGCCGCCGACCCTGAAGGGGGACAACGACGACAACGGCGACGACGGCGACGACAGCGGCGGCGACGACGACGCTGACGTGGGTCAGTCAGAGTCCTCGGGGATGCTCTGGAGGGCTCTCGGAGGCCTCTGGGGGGCAGTTTTGGGGCCTTTTGGGAGCATCTTGGGGGCCTCTTGGCAGCCTCTTGGGAGCCTCTTGGGCCTCCTGGGGGCCTCTTGGGGCCTCTGGGATCCTCTCGGGGCCGAGGGCTCGAAATGTGCATTCGGTTCCCCCGTGAGGGCTCCCTGTTGGAGACTCTTGGGGCGTTGGCGGCCTCTTGAGGGTCTCGTGGAGAAGTCTTGGGGACTTCTTCAGGCTTCCGGAACCGCGCGGGGGGAGGCGTATTTGGGTGGGGACCCCCCCGGACCCCCCCCCAGGACCCCCCGGGGACCCCTCGGGACCCCCCCGCCCCCCCAGGGAAGGGATCAAAGGGAAGGAGCTTCCCTTCGACTCCACTCCAACGTTGCTCAATTTCGCTTTGGATGGCACGCTTGAGGAGGAGGGCCTGGAGAAATGGAACGGAGGACGACGGAGACGACGATTCTAACGGAGAAGCCCGACTCGAACGGGGAACCCCCTCACGCGCGCCGACAGGGTCGGCGGATGTGTCACGCTTTCATGCTTCACGTCTCTACCCACTTCCTCCGAACGATGGGTCTACGTACTCCTCCGCAGCCGGTGTGGCCCCAGCATTTGCATCCTCGAGCCTTCTCCTAGCGCAGCCGCGGCCCTAGCACGATGGCGGAGCAGGTGAAGTTGTTCGGCAGGTGGGCGTACGAGGACGTCAACGTGTCCGACCTTAGCCTGGTCGACTACATCGCCGTGAAAGCGGGAGCGCACACGTACTTGCCGCACACGCAGGGCCGTTACCAGGCCTCCTCTTTTTGCTTCCTCCTTTCCTCCCTCCTCTGCTTCCGATATCCTCCTTCCTCTTGTCTTCCTCCCTCTTACCTCTCTACTCCCTCTTCCGCCTCCCCCCCCCCCCTGCCTCCTTCCCACTGACCTCCCCTCTGTCCTCCCTTCGCCTCCCTCCCTGCCCCCACTTCCGTACCCTCTCCCTCCCTCCCTCCTTCCCGCCTCCCACCTCCTCTTTTCCTTTTTCCTCCCTGTCACCGTTCTCCCTTCCTTCCACCTCCCTACTCCCTTCATCGTCTCTTCTGCCTCATTCTCTCTACTCCTTCCCTCCATCTCGCCCTGCCTCCCCCTCTCCTATCCCACTCCTCCCTCGCACCTCCCTCCCGTTCAGGCAAAGCGATTCCGCAAGGCCTTGTGCCCAATCGTCGAGCGTTTGTGCTGCTCTATGATGATGCACGGCCGCAACAACGGCAAGAAGCTGATGGCCGCGAGGGGCGGTAGCGAAGCGGGGGACGGGGGCGGAGGAGAGAGAGAAGGTAGGAGGTCGCTGTCGTCTTTTTCCCCCAGTCTCCTTACATCCGTGCAGTTGGTACATATGTTCAGTCGTCTGGTCGATAAGTTTGAAGGGATTTTCAAGCGAAACTCACATGTTGCAAAGGAACCGCCCTCCGTGCTTGCAGTTCTTGCAGACGCTAAGACGAATGTGCGCGGTGCCAAGGCGGAACCGTCTTCATCTTTACAGATGCTGCACATTGTTAGGACGCATGTTCGTGGCGCTAATGAGAGAGCGCCATCGCCATGCGGACATGTGTGTGGCGCTACGGCGAGATATCTATCTTGAAGAAGGAACCTGCCCCCATCCTTGTATTTCTGGCAAGCTTTTACAAGCGAGTGCGCACTGCACTTTTTGAAAATCACCCCTCCATCCTCATAGCCGTTGGACACTTTTTTAAGACTCACGTGCACCGTCTTCTCACCATAGCTATTGGCAGTTTCAATAGACGGTGCGGAAGCCTCCAGCCGACCGCCTGGGCCCGCCTTGCCGACACTTCTGGGGGCGCGGCATGTAGGAGTTGTCTATGTCGACCAGCAAACAAACGACACCACTCCACCTACGCCCCTCCATGCTACGCTACGGCTCATCGGGCACCGTAACGTATATCACGCACGAGCCGAAGCCGGAATGCATAGTATATGCTAAGGCCCGTGGGGCCGAAGGTGGCTCGTGTCGTTTGGTTCTTGGTCCACTCGAAGGAACATGTATGGAAGATGAAGAAGAGGAGGATGAGGAGGAGGAGGAGGAGGAGGAGGAGGAGGAGGAGGAGGAGGAGGATGGGGGGCTAAGGAACTGCTGGGAAGGAGGAAGATGCGGGGCTTCCTCGTTCCCGTCCTCAGATGTTACGCTGCCCCCTTACCAGCTTGCAATCTATCCCAATCCTCATGATTAGTATCACCTGGTCTCGATGCCGATCTTAAGGATTTCCTCAGTTTCTGAGGGCACATCTCTAAGATTGTCATCGCCTTGGGCTTACCGATCGTAGGGATAGGGATCAGTTCGAAGCTGGGTAGCGCAGGCATCGATCGAACGATCGTTGTGTCTCTCCTCCCTCTGGCCACCCTCCTGCTTCTGCCCTCCACTGACGTGCAGTGCCGCAGTCTTCGCCCCAGGCCGTCCGCATCGTGAAGCACGCGTTTGAGATCATCCACCTCCTGACAGACAAGAACCCGATCCAGGTCCTTGAGACCCGGGTGCAGCTTAACGTTTTGTTTGTATATGTGTTGTGGATTAACTTTTTCTTACGTTTAAGCAAGTTTCGTCTCGATCCCGCAGGGATGGCAACTTTTCAACGTTTTCGGCGTCTGGAGGCCCGCTGCGAGCCCCCCGGAGCCGTCGAAGAGTGGCCCAGCGATGGGGTTTTGCTCCAGGGAGGGGGTTTGAGAGCCCCACATGGGGGCCCACGTCACGCGCACAGAGTTCAGGAACATCGCGCAAGCGTCGGCTTCGGGCGTCCGTGCGCGACGTCTCCGCTAACGCTGAATCCCCTCCCCGCCGCCCCCCCCCCGTCGGCGCTTTCGGCGCCGCCCTCAGCGCGTTCCGCACGCTGGGGAGGGGTGGGAGTGGGAAGGAAAGCTCAGCTCCATCCGAGACGCCCGCCGCGCCAGCGAATTTCGTGGTCTGGCGCTTTTCAGGATGCTTCGCCCTCCTTGTCTGGGCCACGATACGTAGGCCGTCGAAGGGAAGGGGGAGGATCGGGAGGAAACGAAACAGGAAATGAGAACGAGCGGAATGATGATGACGACGTTGCCGCCGCCGCCGCCGCCGCCGCCGCTGCCGCCGATGATGATGATGATGATGATGATGATGATGATGATGATGATGATGACGATGACCAGCCTGATGATGATCAGCCTGATGATGATTATTATGATGACGACGATGATGATGATGATGTTGTTGATGATGATGATGTTGTTGATGATGCTGATGATGCTGGTGATGTTGTTGTTGCTGTTTCTGTTGCTGTTGATGTTGGTGATGATCATGATGACGACGATGACGATGGTGATGGTGATGATGACGATCATGTCGACGATTGTGATGATAGTGATGATGGTGGCGACGACTGTGACAATGATGTTGTGACGGTACTGGTGACGATGGCGCCGATTAAGATCATTATGATGACGACGATAATCATGATGATGATGATCATGATCATGATGATGATGACGACGATGATGATGACGATGTTGATGATGATGATGATATTGTGGTGTTGATGATGATTATGATATTAATTATGATTATTAGGATGATGGTGATTCTGATTACGATGGCAACCATGATGATGTTGATGATGTGGATGATGCTTGTGCTGACAGCGATGATGATGATGATGATGATGATGATGATGCTGATGATGATGATGATGATCATCATCATCATGATCTTGGCGATGGTGATGCTGCCGATAAGGATGAAGATGGTCATAACGGCAATGATATTGGTGGTGATGCTGATGTTGATGCTGATGCTGATGATGCTGTCGATCATGCTGCTGATGCTGATGCAGATGATAACGATGCTGATGATGATGCTGATGCTAATGCTGATGCTGATGGTGATGGTGATGGTGATGGTGATTATGATGAGGCACTCACAGTGGCGACGACAATCGCATGGCGAACGTAGGAAGGACAGTTGCAGAGACAGTAGTTATGAAGACAGCTGACACCTAGGACGTCGAGGAGGAGCACGAGGAGGAGGAGGATCTTGAAGAAGAGGAGCACTAGATGAGGAGGGCTGGAATGACGACGCCGATGATGCATATGCTGTTGTTGGTGATGATGGGGGTGCACTTGTTTCGTTGAGCCCCCTCCCCCTTGCGCGATGGTGCTTTGGGTGTCCCCATCGAAGTGCCCCACCTCGGTGCTCGCACCCGGATTTTCTGTCATTGGCAATGATCCTGTTCAAATGGCGCCCTCGACTACACCGATAACGGTTCCCGCCAGAAATTCCCCGTGAATTCATTAAGGAATCACGCTCTTGCTCAATACGTCTTCCCAACTTGAGAAAAGTGGTATCGCCTTGGACCCAGCGCAATTTACGCGAGCATCGCGCTCTCGCCTTTCAATATTCGCGCTCTCTTCTAGCATTTCCCTCCAATTTGTTTACTACTTGTTCTCTCGCGTGGGCCATCCTTTCACCGTACTTCAGAATTACGCTCTCCATTGGGATGTCTGAGAAGTTGCTGAGGCATCGCGCTCGAGCAATCACGCACTCGCCTTCTCGTCTGTGACCGTGCCGCCATCTTTTATCCCGCCCGTCGGACCCGCCCGTTTGGGTCCGCGCGCCCTACTCGCTCGTCAGGGTCCGCTCCACCCCGACCCTCCCTCCCGAGTCCCCTCTAGACTTGCGTAAACTTTCCAAAGGGATCCCGTCTTAACGTCCCGCCCGCCCGACTCGCCTCTTGGGGCCCGTCCACCCTGTCCGCCTGTCAGGGTCGCGCGCCCGACCCACCTGTTTGGTCCGCAAGCTCGCTTGCTTCCCGCTCGTGCGATCTTTCGGGTCCGCCCGCCCGATCCGTCCGTCAGGGCCCGCCTCCCAGAACCGCATGTTGGGGTATGGCCACTCGGTCCGCCTGTTAAGGCCTCCCTGCCCGACCCGCCTGTTTGGGTCCGTCCGTTCGCTTGCTTGGAAGGCAGCCCGCCCGCTTTCATAGCCCGCCCGTCCGACCCGCCTGTGAGGACTGGCCCGCCCGACGTGCCTGTTGGGATCAGCCCGACTGGCCGCCTAGAAACGAATAGGGTGGGAGCCACGGATTGCGAGCAAATCAAGAGCGAACAGTCTAAGCTGATGACCCTTGTTGTCGAGACTGGTGGAGATGATGACGGTGAGGGCCTGGAGGCTGGTTGTCGCGTCTTTTTCCAGACAGGTCTACGTGGATGCCGTGAAGAATGGGGGCCCCCGTGAGGACTCCGCGCGCGCGAGAGGAGGAGGAGGAGGAGGAGGAGGAAGAGGAGGAGGAAGAGGAGGAAGTGGAAGAGGAAGAAGAGGAGGTGGCGGAGATGGAGGCGGTGGCAGAGGACAGGGATCATATCGGATGAGAGGGAGAAGGAGCGGATGAGGAGGTGGAGGATGAGGGGGAATTTCAAGGCGCCTGATGCTGGTGCTGGTGATGATGATGCCGTTGATGATGATGACGATGCTGATCCTGATGATGATGCTGATGCTGATGATGCTGATCATGCTGATGCTGATGATGTGGAGGATTACGATGATGAGGATATGAGGATGAGGATGATGTTGATGATGCTGATGATGATGATTATGATGCTGGGGAGGAGGATGAGGATGAGGATGATGCTGATGATGCTGATGATAATGCTGATGATGCTGATGCTGATGCAGCTGTTGCAACTGATGATTCGTATGATACTGACGACGATTATGACGATGACGATGACGGTGTTGATCATGATGATCGTGATCATGATCGTGCTGATGATTATGCTGATCATTCGGATGATGAGATGACGGTGTTGTTGATGATGTTGTTGATGATGATGTTGATGATGCTGAAAATACTGATGCTGATGATGATTATTACTCTTATCATTATGACGATGGTGATATGCTTATGCGGGTGATGCTGCTGATGATGATGAGGACGATGATGGCGACGATGTTGATGGTGCTGATGATTATCATGGCACTGATGATATTTACACTTTTTATGCTGATGATGCGGCTACTGATGATTATTCCGATACTGCCGGTGCTCCTGCTGTTGTTGATGCTGCTAATGATGATGAGGACCATGATCATGGTGATGATGATGATGATGATGACGGTGGTGGTGGCTGTGAAGGTGATGACGACGACGCCGACGATGACGATGACGATGACGACGATGCTGATGACGATGATGACGATGATGATGATGATGATGATGATGATGATGATGATGATGATGATGATGATGATGAGGATGAGGATGAGGATGAGGATGATTGATGATGCTGATGCTGATGCTGATGCCGGTGAGGATGATGAGGCTGATGATGAGGATGCTGATGCTGATGACGATGTTGCTGCAGATGATGAAGATAATGTTGCTGCTGAAGATGACGATGATGATGATGCTGATGGTGATGATGATGATGCTGATGATGAACATGACGGCGACGATGATGCTGATGATGATGGTTGCGATGACGATTACGAATCTGATGATGCTGATGCTGATGCTGATGCTGATGCTGATGCTGATGCTGATGCTGATGCTGCTACTGGTGATGCTGATGATGATGATGATGATGATGATGATGCTGATGATGGCGATGCCAATGCTAATGATGATGCTGCTGCTGATGATGATGGTGCTGCTGCTGATGATGATGACGATGATGATGATGATGCTGCTGCTGCTGATGATGATGATGATGATGCTGAGGATTATGATTCTGATACTGATTATGATGATGCTGCTGATGATGCTGATGATTCTGCTGCTGATGATGATGCTGCTGATGATGATGCTGATGATTCTGAGTATGAGTATGATGCTGTTGCTGCTGATGATGATGATGATGATTGTGCTGATGAGGCTGATGATGATGACGACGATGCCAATGCTAATGTTGATGCTGCTGCGGATGGTGCTGCTGCTGCTGATGCTGATGATGACGATGATGATGATGATGATGATGATCATGATTGATGATGATGATGATGATGATGATGATGATGATGATGATGATGATGATGATGATGATGATGATGATGATGATGATGATGATGATGATGATGATGATGATGATGATGATGATGATGATGATGATGATGATGATGATGCTGATGATGATGATGATGATGGATGATGATGATGATGATGATGATGATGATGATGATGATGACGATGACGATGTGATGATGATGATGATGATGATGATGATGATGATGATGATGATGATGATGATGATGATGAGGAGGAGGAGGAGGAGGAGGAGGAGGAGGAGGCGGAGGAGGGAGGAGGAGGAGGAGGAGACGGAGGAGCAGGAGTACGCTGTTGATGCTATTGCTGATACTGCTGCTTCTGATTATTAGGATGAGGATGAGGAGGAGGAGGATGAGGATGAGGAGGAAGTGGCGGATATGGACGCGGCGGA